ACTTGAAATTCTTGAGATGAATCAGTATTTATTAATTTTAATAAATACTGATTCATCTCAACTTTAATAGTTTCATTAACGTTAATAGTAATCAAAAACTTAAAAAAAATAAAGTTATTCCCATCAAGGCATAACTTTAATAATAGTTTTTTATAACATTGTCTAACAATCAAAATTTGAACATGGTAGGCTAAAATGGCCTAGGGCCCATTTTATGAAGGTATTATTATAAATAAGTTAGTTTAAATCCAATCTGAGTGATAGCTTTTATGTACCTACATATGGTCATAAATAGCTTTGCGTAAGTCGCTAAATCTCTTGACAGATCTACTTTAGCTGCAAACCGGTCTGACAATGTTGATTAGCCAGTGAGCCGTATTGGCCGCAAGGACCTATTCAATCTGAAAAAATAATACCTCAAAAATCTACTAAACAAAATGCCTAAAAAATGTTGCCACGCTATGTACTAAGGATTCATTTACAAGTGCACAAGTAATTAAAAAAACAGTAATAATTTGAAAGAACAAAATGAATTAAACTCAAGTCAAACTTAAATCAAAAAATACACAGAAATTTTGATAATTTTCAATTTTCGCACGCACTCGACATAGGCGATGTACCAGCAATGCTATTAGAGCACCGATTACTTAAGCTATTAGAGCACCGATTACTTAAATATATTGTTGAATGTTTTAATAAAAATTATTAAATTAATAAACTTAAATTCTTAATGCCTCTCTTAATTATTTTACTATAATTATGTTGTCCTTAACCAAACCCTTAATGACAGATTATTACTTCTAAATTTCCCAATCCGTTAAAGAGCTTACGCAGTAAGCCGATTTATTTGTTATCACTATATGATGTCGAATATAATATGTTCTTTTCCCTGACATATTGCAACAATCCCTGTTAACGTTTCTTTTGTCAAGAAATAATATATTCAAATAAATCGAATAATTATTGCATAGAACCGATAATTGCTAATTCATTCAGATAAACTTGTTGTCTTTGTTGATGCATAGGATGTTTATATGAATAAAACCCGATATTATATATAGTGAATTTATTATACGTAGTGAATGTACACCCTCCAGAAGTGAAGGGAAGTGGCGTAATACAATACCGGCGCTACAAGGAAGCCACTGCAATTTCCGATTCCGAAAAGGTAGATACTTCAATCAGAAGTAACTCGAGGTTAACTTTTTCAGGGTCACCCACTCGCAATAATTGGCATCAAGCATCAGCTTTATTCTCTTTAAAAGATTGCAAAAGTCTTATGTACCATTACTGCTGGGTTATTCGGTCCTTAAACGTATGTCATTAAACGCAGCTTCCTTATCGTACTTTAGTTCGGGAGTTAGCCGTAGCTTTATATTTTACGTTTACGTCTGTAGAAACACCTGAGAGGTTATAATAGAATCAATACTTGAAATGCAATCGGAAAAAATGCTTACAGTACATACACAACAATAGATAAGTTCTATGTCCGACAGACGTTATCATCATCATCATCATCTGAGGCATTACAGCAGCGGGTGGGCCTTAGCCTGGTGAAGCAAATCTCTCCAGTCCGATCTAATCATGGCTTTGTTTCTCCAGCCTATAACCCCCAAGATCTTGGTGTCCTGTTCGGCGCTATCCAACCACCTAATTTTGGGCCTGCCTCTAGTCTTGCGGTCCTCCGGCCGGCATTCCAGATGGCATGTAGGTACTCTGGCTTCGTCCATTCGCACCACGTGTCCTGCCCATCGCAGGCGTCCGATCTTTATGAACCTGATGACGTTTGGCTCATCATATAATTGGCACAGCTCGTGGTTGTAACTCGTTCGCCATCTCTCATTTTCCATCTAAGCTCTAAAGATACGTCTAACTATTTTACGCTCAAATACCAACAAGCTATTTTCGTCTTTTTTGCTCAGTACCCTACCATTCAGAACCCAAGTAAGTATGGGCCGTAGTAGGGTTTTGTACTGTCTCGTCAAAATTAAGGAATTCGATTTGTCAGCTAAAACACTCCGCCGGTTTAGCAGAAAATCACGGTTATTTTAATATTCTTGTAAAACTCAAGTTATTAGAAGAGATGAATTTTCCCAAAGGCAAGTGAAATACACAAATAATTGACTTTGAGCAGTTACTGTTCATTACCTTTCGTATATGTTGGGCGTCCTTCGCTTCGTTTGCCGGTTCACAATTTCCTTCCTCCAGGTGAGATCTTAAGATGCTAAGTCTCATAAGCATATACATCGAGCTTTTATTGAAATCCGTTCCTTATGTATTTAACTAATCCTTGAACGAGATTACCGTTTTTTTGGAAATTTTGCTTTGCTTGTAATTTTAGATGTTTAATTTTAGAATGTTTGTAATTTTATTATTTTTGCTATTTGAAACCACCAAGGGCACATAGCTCAATGGAAGTACATCCATAAAAATGGTCGAATCTTAGAACTAGTGATACGAAATCAAATTATATCATTTATTTTGCTAAATAGATATGGATTAATCACCTATAGATGTAGGTGTTTACTGAAACACTGTATAATCTGTCATTAAATTAAGAAGTAATATGAATTTTCCGACTTCGATAATGCATATTACAGAGTACTCCAGACGGCCCTGAAGTTACCCCAATTTTTATCATGTACAAAATGTTCAAAATGAATTCATCGCGAGAAAATATTCGGTCCATGATTTATTACTTTCGTTGTGGTCTTACTCAACAACAAAGCTATGATTGCCTTCGATTGGCATTTAATAATGAAGCCTCATCCCGTGCCACTGTTTACAATTGGTTTAATGGGTTTAAGCGTGAGCGTAGATATCTCAGTGATGATCTGCGTGAGGGACGTCCTTCAACAGCCACATTTGAAGATAACATCGGTGCGACGCATGATAGTGGAAGATAAGAGAGTGACCTACCAGCAGCTCAAGATTTGTTATGAGTTAAGTAAAAAAATATTACTTGAACGTTTAGGCGATAGTAAGGGTTGTGCTGTGGATTCCCCATACTTTGACTGAAGACCAGAGGTACCATTGTTGTCGCGGAATGTTAGAAAAGTTCTAAGGAGGTGACTCTACTGCTGTATTTGACATCGTCACAGGTGACGAAAGCTGGATATATTGCTACGAACTCGAAACCAAAAAAGCTCCTGCATAGTGGGTGCTTCCCTTTGAGGATGAATTGGAAGAAAAAGATGATTACCTCGATCTTTTGTCGGAAAAGTCAGACATTTTGCGACATTTATGCTGAATTATGAATGGACAGTTACTGTAGACTGATATGTTAACTATTTTTGGCCGAGGTGTCGAGATAAGGAGTTACCCACCATATAGTCCCGATCAATTATTCCCAAGAATCGAATATAAACTTCGAGGTATTCGCTTTACGAGCCCTGAAGATGCGGTGAGTGAGTTCAGAAATTACCCTAAGGAAGAATGTGCCCGCTGCTTTTCTCAGTGGTTCCATCGAATGCGAAGATGTTTGGCGAGAAACCGAGACTAACTAATTCGAACAACCGTAAAAGTATTGTCAACTTTGTACATTGATCCGTTTTATGATTTTCTAAGAACTTTCAGTGTAATAGCTGTAATTAATTTAAAAACGTCTGTTTTTAAACATTTGTCATATATTTTAATCGGTTCGTTTAAGAACTCTGTGTCAGTAAACTAACTTTAATTATTACAAGCACGAGTGTGTTGTTATGATGAAGGATATGTTTACTGTTAATTTATTACAAGATGGGATTAGAAAAATATTCTTATTTCGTGTCGGATGTTTGAAGTCGGTACTACATTATTGCATATCGGTTTCTGATACTGATATTAACTCTTAAATAGCATTAAATTTGTCCCTTTCCTAAGTTTAGTTTTGAAGGCTTAATAATAAGACTTGATATAGAGTATGCAGCTGCAAATCCTTAAAACCCATAAGTGAAAAATTAAAAAAAATATTCAGGAAGGTTGGTTTGTATTAGGGTTCTTTTTTGTACAGAACTGATACACATGTCTATAATATTATAGGTATTTAAGTTTAAGGTTTAAAACATAAACATTATTATGCACATAACACTAACCAGTTTGTTATTAAAACAATTCACTTCCATTTATATTTTGCACACATGTCCTTATCAAGGTTTTTAATCCAGAACTAAAAGGCAACATTAAAGTATCCGGAAGTCGACTTTATGTTTTTTAACCTTGCGCTGCATTTGTATCTTTAAGGAAAATTACATCCATGTAAACATTCGGTTCCTGACAAGTTTCTTCATGTTTGATAGATTCCTACGGCTTTTAGTGATTAGGAAAGTTTTTGTAATCTTTGTAATCTTGTAGCACATTAAATAATGATGAAAGGCTACGCGATAGTCTCGCAATCAGAGTTCTCCAGTTTGGTTAAGTGTGTTTTCTATCACTGACTAGTTTCCATTTATCCAGATTCGAATGCCCGATTTGTGCAGTAATAATATTCACAGGTCTGGTGTATAGAGCAGGTGTCTCACATTTTTGACTACCCGTCGTCGATTAGAAATGAGGACTCGCGTGTTTACCTTATAGATAAGTTATTATCCTTATAGTTTACAAATATTATTCCGTGGTGGCCAGTATGCGTGCAGTGTTTATTTAAAATGACGCTAATGGAGTCAATTTCATTTATAGTTTAACACCCGTACATTGTTATTACTCGTCTAATTACGCGCCATATATTTAATTACGGTTGGCTTATTATCCAATATTCATAATCACTCGCGTCAATCGCGTAGGCCTGTATGTATGTAAAACTTATGTATGTAAAAAGATATTTTATACCAAAGGCGCATACTGCGATGTAATCTGTCAAGACACTTAGGGCTTTTTCCAGCACACAATGTTACTGATTATAATACGCACTGTGTATAAATATTCTAGCGCGGTTAGTTTTTCACCAGTGCAGTACTCAGAAGCGTCTAACACGGAAGCTTATTCTGGAAATAAAAATGTTTAAATTCATTTTCGTTTTCAAGATGCTACTAGTCGGGATCGTCAGTTCCGCAGGTTAGAAACTCTCAATGTTTTAATAATAAACATTAAGAAAATACCGAGGGATTGATGCATACTCCTTGATTTTGAACCCAGAGTTATATTGTGTATTATGTATTTCTTTATATATATGTAGTTCTCAAAAAATTTCTTATCTCACTGAAACTATCATTTTAATCTTCAGACCTTTCTCTTTAAACGCCCTATAGACAGATAGCTATTTTAATTTGATAAATATATGGCATAGAGACTTGAAATTTGAATATTTCTTTCGCTGAGTAGGGGTCAGCTAATAACGATAGACGACAGCTAATAATAATAAACTTTACGAAATTTCACCCAATTTTTTATTGGCACCAGATTTTTGTCTTTCCGATCATTGATCCTTTGGCTGTGCGTAGAGATGTTGGATCACTCTGCATCTTCTACCGCATCTATCACGGGGAGTGTTCCGAGGAATTGTTTGGATTGATCCCGGCGGCTGAATTTCACCATCGGACATCGCGCCAAAACCAAAAATTTCATCCACACCACCTCGATGTCCAGCGTTCCACAACAGCGCGATTTTCAAGGCATTTCCTGCCTCGCACATCCACTCTGTGGAACTAGCTGCCGCCGGCGGTCTTTCCGAACCGTTACGACCTGGGAACCTTCAAGAAGAGAGCGTACTCTTTCTTTAAAGGCCGCATTTGTAAGCCCTCGGGTGTTGCAGATGTCCATGGGCGGCGGTGATCACTTACCATCAGGTGAGCCTCCTGCTCGTTGGCTGATTTTTTCCCATAAAAAAAAAAAGATGTATAGGTGTCCTCCCAACCTTTCACTTACTGGCAAACATAATTAATCATTAAAAACGCACCAATATTAGACAAGTGCTGAGTTTAGAAATCAGTTGGAATATTGTGAATTTTTAAGTGAGCGCCCAGACATATCTACCCCGGCTGATTATTGTAACTTGTTATGACTTGTAACTTTCAATCAATACATCATGATTTTAAAGTGACATAGACATGGATAATCCAAAACACCGGCAATATTTATTCTTAAACATTTGTTAGACGGTTACTAAATAAGCACAGATACAATTATTTTTCCATAAGTTTTGTCCTTTCATTTATTAACTAACGACCTGCTCCGGCTTCGCAATGCTATACGTTTGTTTTGGACTTCGCATTAGAAACCTCTAAAATTATGAGTGTTTCTCTGCTAATATAGCAGAGAAACACTCATAATTTTAGAGGTAGGTACATGAATTATATGTATTAACCTTCCTCTTGAATCATTCTATCTATTAAAGATAACCGCATAATAATCCGTTTCGCTGTTTTTAAGATCTAAGCATATATAGGGACAAACAGACGGCGGGACGACTTTGTTTTATACTATGTAGTGATGATGATGAAAGAGAATGAATATTTGACCCTAGTTTATTGCCAAACCTTTTTTGTTGGTTTGAAATCTTTAAAACGATGCATTATAAGGATGGTATATATCTGTAGTGAGAAATAAAATTGAACGATACGGCAGACGGATAGTGCCGCTTCGGGTGTAATCCAATAATCTGCAACAAGACGAATTTTAAGTGCACTCCACCTTCTACCACACGTCTGTACTATCCAACCCCAGGCACTTGTTGCAGCCAATGATATTTAACTCAAAGTTGACGTAAATAATTCAGGTACATACGACTTTAATTCGAGACAAAAATGTCTATTGATATTTTGAATCAGCCCCCTGAACAAGATATTTTATTTAATTCGTTTTAATTCCTTTTGTAATCCTTATTCTCAACAAGAATATATTATACATGCATAGGTGTAAAAATTCAGTAAATATAATTAAAGTAAAGTAATATTCTAAGAGACAAGTAGAGTTAAAAAGGCGATTAACCCCTAATAGACTGTATTCAAGAGTGTACAGCTCAAAGCCACTTTATTTTTTTATTAGTCGCGCCACAGGTGGTAAATAATAAAGCTCGTTTAACAATTTCTCGCAGCGTTTTTTAAACCGGCGTTCGAATGGCCATTTGTGTTTCATTGACTATTAATAATTGACGAGGCACTTTCCAGGCAGCGCCCGCTCCATGGAGCGACCGCCAAAGCGCCCTAAGAGCTTGGCGGCCTCCCAAACCGGTGATAATAATAGCGTGACGGCCCGAGCCGAGGCTCCCCCGGGAGCCCTCGAGCTTAGTCACCATAACGCGTAATAATAGTACGCCGAGGTTCAGGCTAGGCGCTTCGTGCGCCAGGCCACCTCAAGCCCGTCGGAACTGTAAAGGCCCCTAAGGCCAACAGTGGCTCTTCCAGCACAAAAAAAAAATCCAGGCAGATTCGTTGCTACACGACCCTGAGCGGCAGACATGGGGGCGTCTGCCGCTCAATATGGGGCTCGCAAGGGGTGCTGCACTAATTGCACCGGCACAGCACCATTTGGCTGGACTGGGTGTCATAGCAGCCGAGAAGAGGAGACCCGAGGGAGCCATGATCGCGCCGGGGTCATATAAGATTGCGTCTCTGTGTTCCCTGGTCCCCCCTGTCGATACGATAGAGACAGATGCAACGTGGGATTTTTAGTGGGCAATTGTTTCTGGCCGGGTTTCACACATACCCTTACCACTCCCCCTAACCGGTGGCAGGGGATGTTAAGAAAAAGGGTGTGCCAACACTAGCGTCTGCACACAGATGTTGCCGTGTCCTGAAATATATCAACAACGTATGCATGCAGTGTACTTGTTTGTCGGTTTGTACAATGAAATGATCGAGACATGCGACATCATCCCGTATTGGATGGAAATAGCATGACCTAGCAGAAGATCGGCGTAAAACTAAAGTGTATAATTTTATGCCTTTTTTCTGACTAGTGATTTAGTGACCAACATTATCAATGATTGACAACACGCCTGCACTAGTATTTTTACTTGGCTCTACATTTCGCTCCTCATTTGTGGTAAAAATCAAAAAAGTGCTAACGATGCAAAGACATTTTCTTTATTTTCCAAACGAATGTTACTTATGTTTTTTTTTTTGTTTCTTTACCTTTTTAGTGTTACCAGTAGACAAATGTAAGCTGCAGGATTCATCGTGCATGATACCGGCGTTTCAAAAAGCAATGCCAATATTCATGGGTGGAATTCCAGAATATGGTGTAGAAGCTTTAGACGTAATGGAAATGGACGAGGTCAAGTTTGAACTGGCGGGACTCAAGTTCGGTTTAAAGGATGGCCGCGTAAAAGGATTGAAAAACTCTATCGTGGATGATGTTAAGTGAGTGTTATTAGGTTAATAAGAACTATTATTTCGATATTTAAATTTGTGCACGCACGAATACGGGATTCTAACTATAGGAGCAACTAAATGGGCAATATATCAGCATCAGTGCTCGTAATGTTGTGTAATAGTATGGTAACTGGTTCACTTGATGTTAAGGGATCCAATGGCCTATGACCATCCCCAAAACCCGTTGCAGTACTGTTAAGACGGCAGTTATACCTAGTTATCTCAAACTCCCGACGTTATTTAATAGCCTCCAGTGAGGCTATGGTTCTTCCTCGGATAAATTGTTCATGCAACAGCAAAAGAATGAATATAAATATAGCCCGAAATATTTGTTAATATTATTTATTTGATTATTTTTAGCTTTATTTCATCTTTGTTCCCGCATATGGTTTCTTTTTGGACGGTGTTAGCTTTATGTCTTCATATAAAAACTAAATATTTTTACTAATAATTATTAATCAGCTATTAAAATCTCCACCTACGGTAGTTGAAATAGTAGTTAAGGCGAATACTTACTAAGCAGTAATAAAATTATTTGCGAAAAATATTTTATTTTAATTAACTATTTTTGAAATGTTTTAGATGGGATCTAAAAAGTAAAAGACTAGAGGTCGTTTATCATGTAGATTGCAGCATCAAAGGTCATTATACGGCAGCCGGTCGCATCCTTATCTTACCCATAACGGGGGACGGGCAAATGAAGCTAAAACTAAGTAAGTGAATTTAAGCACGTATGACATTTTTCGCTTTTGACTTCAAAGAAAAAGAAACAACAGGATAAATTGTTATGCTGTTTGTATTCAATTATACAAAATAAGTTGAAAATACAGACATGCTTATTATAGATCTAGATAATGATTGTACTATTTGTCACGTGTTTAGTCATCAACCTTGGTGTCATTAAAATTTTGATATCATTTCATTTCCAAACTTTTGATTTCTGAAGGAAAAAAAATGTTGTTGTTCGATAGTATAAATACTATGTATTTTAAATAAGTAACATTTTCTGTCTGCTTTCGCATTTTAAATTAGTGTTGTACGATTTTAATTATTCATACTATAATTCATTTCAACCTTAAAAAAATAAGCAGTCCATGTCTTAAGACTACTTATCTTTTTCCCTTTTCTAAAAGTCACGAATGTTTTCAAGCAATAAAGTAAGCTTACCGTAACGCAGTAAGGTAAAAATTAAGTAACGGTCTATATATGTCCCACAGCTGGGCAAAGGTCTTCTCTATATTGAGGGCATTAGGGCATAGTTCACCACGCACTGCGGATCGGCGAACTTCACATATCTTCAAAATATTTTTATGTTATTATTACGAAAATATGCAGGTTCCTAACAATGTTTTCCTTCACCGCTAAGCACCTGATAAATCAGCACTTAAAATTCACAATTTCATTGGTGCTGGCATCGGAATCGAACTTAGTATGCCCAAGTATCTTGAGTTAAAGCGGGCGCCCGGATAATGAGCTATCGGGGATATTAAAGTAATAAAATCATATTAATCAAATCAAAACTTTCTACAGAAAATTTAAACGTAACTTTGGTGATCAACTATGAGATGGAAAAAAAAGACGGCAAGGAATACGTGAAACCAAAGTCATATACCTTCAAATTCGACGTGAGGGACGGTGCAGTTTTCGACCTAACCAATTTGTTTAATGGGAACAAAGAACTAAGTAAGTCATCTCTGTTTACGTAAATTCTGTTCATATCATTCATGCTAGATCTCTTTATGTTCTTATTGTTTAATTTCGAGTTTGATTTTATTTGAAATTTACGTTCAATACTCATAAAATTGGCTTCATAAGTCTTGCAGACTTCATAGATACATTTCAGGTTACTTTTTTGTAAAACTATAAGAAATTGGGAGTTAATATTATATAATTAAAAAAAAAAAAACTTTGAACGTTAGTTAAATCACCCTTTAATAATATTAAACGTTAATATTATTTTATGTCGCTGACTTCTACGCCTAACTTCTAACCTTCACAGTAATAATATCATGTTTATTTTTCTTTTGTTAAACCAAATATAATTTTCTACTTTACAGGTGAGCCCATGCTTGTTTTCCTAAATGAAAATTGGAAGCAAATAACACAGGAATTTGGTAATCCTATGATAGAAGTATCGGCTAAGAAGATCTTTAAGAATCTTGTGGCATTTTTCTCAAAAGTTTCTATAACTGATATTGCTTATGTGTGACATAAAAATGATTTGTAATTCTTTTCATTTTGGATATCACCGATGACATGATGGATTTATTATTTATTATTTTAGAATTATTTGTAATTATGTTATAAGAATGTAGTATTTATTTTGTTACAGTTGTGGGTTAAATTAAAAATTACTTTTAAAATAAACAGTTTTTTTTTTATTTTGTGTAGTTTAGAATAAAACGTAATCCATAATTACTTTGTCATTTTACGCATATCGTTATTATATACAGGTTGATTAGAAAAACGTAAAAATTCAGGTCATTAAACTTAGTACAAGTCTACTACAGCTCGTTTTCTGTCAAACAATTATTAGAATACGTTATCCAAAAACAAGAAATAGCAGTATTAATTTTCTTTGATTCGCCAATTTTGCTGATAAGAGATGGTTAAAATAAAAAAATTTTTTTAGATTTAACATAGTGGAAAGTGTGGTTCACTGTGCACAAAGTAATTCTTTTCTTTTTTTTTGGGCTAGATGAGCCACTGTTGGCCTTAGGGGCCTTTACAGATCCGACGGACTTGAGGTGGCCTGGCGCACGAGGCGCCTAGCCTGAACCTCGGCGTACTATTATTACGCGTTATGGTGACTAAGCTCGAGGGCTCCCGGGGGAGCCCGGCTCGGGCCGTCACGCTATTATTATTACCGGTTTGGGAGGCCGCCAAGCTCTTAGGGCGCTTTGGCGGGCGCTCCATGGAGTGATCAGGCTCAAGGGTCCCCGAGAGGGGACCTCGGCTTGGGCTGTCACTCAGCACGCGTTTAGCATTCCGATTCAAGGGTGCCCGAGAGGGCCGGACCTCGGCTCGATCGGTAGCTATTATCTGACTGGGGGAATTACTAGTGCTAATATTACTACCACTTCGGAGAGCGTTGGCGCTGGGAGAAGAAGTGGCGGAAGAAACTCCAGCAACGCTTCTATCATTAATAGGGGAAAACCTGCCAGGTACGTGGCGGAACCTTGTATATGTTTGCCGCACTCGCCGGCGAGTGCGGTGTGTGTTGGTGTGTTTCTTGAGTTTCTTGATCCTTTCGATGGCGATAGTCGTCTCATCGTCAGGGAAGTCGAGAACGTGACGCGGTCTTCGGTAATCGCGGCGGAAAATATTTAGCGGCAAGGGCCTGTAGGTGACGGCACCTACGATAAGTGGGTTGGGATGCGCGGCGGCGGAATCGAAATATCGGCGCGACGCCGACTTCAGGAATTGCGCGATGGTGGGCAATTCTAGATCGACATGTAGGTCGATATTGCGCATGAACCAGGGTGCTCCCGTGGCTCTGCGCAAGAATCGATTTTGAATCACCTGAAGCCGGTGTATTTGCTTCGGAGCAATGTGAGCGAAGACGGGGCTCGCGTACGTCATGATAGGGCGAACTACTGCCTTATATAAGGTCACCTTGTTCCGAAGGGACATTTTAGACGTTTTATTGAGGAGCGGGTAGAGGCGACCGAGTACGAAGGCCGCCCGGTTCCTGACCTGGGTCACGTGCTGGGTGAATTTAAGGTGGGAGTCGAGGACGACGCCTAGATATATGACTTTATTAACGCATGGTACTGGGCTGTCCAAGAGTTTGACGGGGGGTGGTATGGGTACGTTCTTTTTGTGCGCGAAAAGGAGGGCCGCGCTTTTGGCGGGATTGATCTCGATCCTCCATTGCCGAAACCAGTCACCGATGGTGATGGCCGCAGCTTGGAGGCGTCGATGGATCAATTCGGGTGTTCTGCCTGTGGTATAGATACAGTTGTCGTCGGCAAAGAGAGCAAGTTCTACATCTTTGACACGCGGCATGTCATTGGTGTAGAGGGTGAACAAGACTGGGCCCAACACCGACCCTTGGGGCACCCCGGCTCGAACGGGATGCGTAGTCGAACACACGCCCCCGACGCGATAGCGAAAGGTTCGATTCGTTAGGAAGTCTCGTATTATGCATACGAGACGGTCAGGAACTCCGTACCCGTATAGCTTGTATACGAGCCCGTTGTGCCAGACTTTGTCAAACGCTTTTGCCACGTCCAGGAAGAGTGCACCGGTGTTGAGTCCACGTTGGCGTTTGGTTAAAATGTGCTCCGTGATGCGGTGCACTTGGTGGGTACATGAGTGTTTGGCTCTGAATCCAAACTGCTCTGGGACGGGGAGCCCTTTGGTGCCCATAAGGGATCTTAAGCGGGCTAATATTAGTCTTTCAAAGATTCTCCCAAATATTTTGAGAAGACTTATTGGACGATATGAGATTGGGAGAGTGGCGGGTTTAGAGGGTTTGAGGAACCCTATGATATCGGCTTCCTTCCACTCGGATGGGAAGAAGCCTTCGGTTAAGGCCGCGTTGTAAATTAATACTAGTATCTGAGGGATGCTAGTAGGGAGGAGCTTGGTCACCTTATTGGTGATTCCATCTGAGCCTGGTGCTTTACGGGGGCGTAGTTTTTTAATGGTCTCTACTAGTTCTAGGCACGTGACCGGGGGAACGGGATCGCGGAGTGGCTCTAAAGCTTTCCTTTCTACCTCTTCGTTCACCTTGCGGAGGTGTTCGGGGTCGATCGGAAGCAGACTGGGGGAGCATTGAGACTCTAGGCTGTCAGCCAGGCATTCGGCCTTCTCTTCGTCCAGCGTTGCTGGCGTACCTATCGGACGGACTAGTGGCGGCATGGTTGTTATGCCGTTACCCTTGAGGGCTTTGGGAAGTTTCCAGAAAGCTACGTGGGATGGTTTTACTGAAGTTAGGGTGGAGTCCCATCGTTCGTTTCGTGAGTCTGCTATGCGTGTTTTGACCTCACGCTGCAATTTACGTAGCAGTCTACGATTCGAGTCGGTGGGATATCTATCATAGGCTCGAGTGGCCGCATTCTTGCGTCTCAGCAAGTCTCGCACATCGTCTGGCAGGGCCCAGCGATGGTCTTCCATCGCCGGGACCTGTCTCGAGCATTGCTCGACGACGGTGTTGACGTGGCTTGTGAGGGCTCGAATTGCGGTTTCCGTGTCCTGTTTGGTATTCAATTCTCTAGGGATTGACTCTAGTTGTGGAGGATTAGGTTCGTTAAATTTAGATTTGATTTTATGCCAGCTGATGAGTTTTGGTTAGGGGAGCGGCTGTTGCTGAAGGCCCTAGCCGGAGGAGAACTGGTCGGTGATCGGAGTGAAGCTCGTGTATCACTTCCGGTTCGCATAAGGAGAGACTGATGTTTTTGACGAGTGTAATGTCAAGCACATCCGATGTGTGTCCGATCCATGAGGTAAACTGATGCTATGGTGATGGGAGAGTGGCCGGTTAAAGCCAGCTGACAGACGGAGGCCTCGAGATGCGTGAGCGCGGGCGTGTCTACCGGTACGCAATGGAGAGATTTTTTATAGTAAATAAGTGTGCCGCCGCGATTCGATAATTGGGGATGTTCGGATCTCTTGTCGCGGGTTTCAGGAACGTCTCCTGAATGAGAAATATATCGATTTGGTGGTCGCGTAAGAAAATACATATTTCGTCGCGTTGCTCTTTAAGCCCATTCGCGTTGTAGAATGCTACATTAATCGATCGCGGTTTGACTCTGCCATTATTACGCGTAGCAGAGAGACTGGTGGTGTTATTATTATTATTATTTAGGGGTGTACTATCCATTTTGGGTCCCAAATAACGCAGCAACTATGTGCTGGTATTGGTTAAGGAGTAGGAGTCTTGATAAGAAGTTGCCTCCAGCGTATTGCTGGGCAAAATACATAACCTCCGCCATGTTGACGGTTCGGAGGAGTTGGCTCAGCGAGTCCAGGGGGTTACTTCCGGTCGCTGGTGTTGGTGGGACTGGGATAGGAATTGGAGCCGGCTGTGCGGCTAATTTGGGTGCCATGATAGGCGGGTTAGGTTTAGCCCAAGCGGGGGCCATAGGGTTCTGCCACGCGGGGCGTAGAGGTGGGAAGGAGGCAGCCGTCGGTACGGGTGATCTTCTGATGGCCTGAGGGGCCGGTTTGGTAGGCCTGCGCTTAGGCGCGTTGGGACAGCCGAGGTAGTTGGCTGTGTGGCCTTCTTTTTGGCACAGCACGCAAGCGGGAGGCCCGTAGCTAGCTAAGAGTGCCTTATCTTTAGGCCAGGGGCAGTCTGGGGTGCCGTGGTCTCCTAGGCACTTGACGCACCTAGGCCTGGCGAAGCAATTGCGAGCTGCGTGTCCGTATTTTTGGCACTTGTGGCATTGCCCTGGGAGCACGCCTTTGTGCGGTGGTTCGACAACGATGTTGTCGAGTCCTAGTACGGATTGGATATTAAAGATTTCTTTCCCTGCCGGGGTCAACTCAAGGTGGACCATGACAAGGTCTATGGGAGTGCGCATGCGCCTGCTGGTCATGCGATGGACTGCAAGGACCGGGAGGTTTTGGTTCTTGAGTGATTCGAACACTCTGTCGGTGGAGATGTTGCTTTGGATACGCTTGATGACAACACGGAGTATCCTGTCTTCTTTGAGCGTGTAGGTGTGGTAAAACACCTCTTTGTCTCGCAGGAATTTGGATACCTGCCTGTGGGCATCGGCTGTCTCAAGCTGCAGCTTGTTGCCCTGGTTGGTGGTAGTGGCGCTAAATTTAACCCTATTGGATAGGGCGGATTCTATCATTGGCCACTTGGAAGTGTCCTGAATGAAGATTGGCGGTGGCCGCTTGTCTTGCGGCGCACGGGGGGCCGCGGGAGGCGCGGGGGCTGCTTGAGTAGCAGCCGGGGTTGGGATCGCTGAAGGCGATGGGGTTGGAATCGCTGAAGGCGATGGGGTCAGTTGGGCGGGCACTGAGGGCCCGGCTACGGCCGATTCGGTCGGCCTTGACGCCTTAACTGGTGGTACGGGGGACGTGGCCGTTGATGACGGCTGGGAGGTGCGCTTCTTGCGCTTCTTTTTGTTCACCACTTCGGTGAACAAACCTCCTTCGTCGGCATCGGGAGAGAGGGGCGAGTCTAGCTCCATTTCCTCTTGCGAGGAGGAGCTTGCTGCAACATCGTCGGTCGAGGTGTAGGATGCC